GACAGCGTGAATGTGGTGGTGGAGACCAACGGGAATGTAGAAGAGGATCAGCTGGATAACCACAGGCCCTCTGAGACCAATGACAACGCTGCCTGGGTAGGGCTTCTCCTTCCCTGGTGTTGAACATATTTACAAATCAAGCTGGTGCACTTTACTTCCACTGATGTCATGTTCAGTTTCCATTTTCGTGGAACTATTTAGAAATATTTCAAGTATGCCTCAGTATACTGCTAAAAAGTGAGAGTTGTGTAGAAACTATTGTGAAAGATACTGTTTTAAACACCACACTAATGTATATCGTAGCATCTGGGTGTACAATAAGGTAAAGTGCTTTTTCTTCCAGGAAATAGAAGATGGCTTGGATGAAGCCTTCTCCAGGTGAGATATTTGTGCTGAATATTTTAAGTTATAAAGTTAGTCCCGGTTGATTCTCTTTGCTGCTTGTTTGCAATAAAATGCCCCATCACCGAAATCTGCCTGCCAAATCCTTCACTGTTCTGTAGTTCGTTCACGTACTGCTTCACAGTGCCACTTACTGATGATTTCCGTGTATTGCAGCATGCAAACCCTTCGGTCTCTGATAATATAGAAACTCAGGAAATGTGGGGTAAATCTAAAGAGACGCTACACAATCAGTAAGAAATCATTTTAAACTGTCCTCAATCTGCTGTGTGTTTGTATCTCCAGCTGTGCTCTGGATAGCTATGGTTCATTCCCAGGTAAAGTTGAGCACCTTTACAAACCTCACTTAGTGCGGTAGTCCTAATTACTAACCTAACATCAATCCATTCCATTAAATCACTGCCAAACCCAATTACGCTGCTTTACAGTTCAGTAATGTTAGTCAGTAGTGTGAAGTACAGTAGCTTCCTCTGTGTTTTATTGCCTCCCAGATGGATTCATTCTCAACCGGGTTCAGAAAAGAAGCATCGAATTTCAGTCAAAATGAAAAATGTCTTTGTCTCTGCCCATCTCATCATCACCAAAAATTGCTCTAATCTTTTATTTTTTTTCTTCTGATAACCTCGTCCTGTGATATATATCTATAGTCTGACTGGACTGAAGCGAGAATTATGTGAATCTACTTCACACAGCAGGCTTAGTTGAGTCATTCCTGTGTTTGTGTGTGAAAAGTAGAGCAGTGGGTCACTTGAACTCGGTGGCAGATCAACACCATTTATCCCATGGTTCAAATGAACTGAATGTCTTGAAGTAATCCCTGTGACCTTCACCCAGACTTGGTGTATATTTATTATCCCTGAGAGAAGGGGATGTTTGTAGCCAAACGGAGGGACGCAAATTAGAACAGCCTGAGGTTTTAGTTATATAAACAGGTCTGGCATGCGGAGCTGCAATAAAAGCAGCATTAAAATCGGTCATTAACCTGAAAGTGAATAATAGGAGTTAAATAAAACAGCTTTTCTGGCTTCTTGATGCTCAGACAAAAAGAAGTGGAGAAATGAACGAGACCTAGCAGCCCTCATTGTGTCTATTTCCATAAGCTAGCAAGCTTTCTTTATTTTTATTTAATTTTTAATTTGACTATCCTGACTAAGCTAGCAAGATCATTTCATTACTACTCTAAATCTGCAAATGTTTGTGGAAATAAACATTATGAACAAACTTCCTGGCAAAAATGGCACTTTGTCATTCTAGGCCTCAGTGTTTGGTTCTGATGTAGAGCATTTGGATCCTTCCTTCCCAGGAACGGTTGTGTTTTTGATTAGAAAACTGCTCAATGTAGCACAGCATCAGCCTGTCCATGACTGCTGATACTCCATATTTTCCTGGGAAAAAAATCCTATAAAAAGACCAAAGCCAACAGTGAATTTATCCTTCTAAGTACTGCTTGTATGTCGTTGTCTGATTCTTCTACACCTCAGCGCAGTGTTTTTGTCAAAAAATTATTAAAAGCCCACAAACAAGCTAAACTGTTGCACTCGGTAACATGTTGTTTTATTAAAAAGAGAAATGTCATCCATTGCTAAAAACTACCGTGCAAAGCCGTTTTAGGGAATTATTTAATAGTTATTTCAACAAATGAAACTATATTTGTGAACTGAAGAAGCATTGAGAGACAGACGTTGCTGGTTTTGGTCTTTTCGTTGGACAAGTAGACAGAAAGTAGAAACATTTTAAGCCGGATCTTTTAAAGTTTTTAAAAGCTTTTTAGTTTTAATCTGTTTTTTTTTCTCCCCTGTCTTTTCAGACTGGCAGTGTCGCGTACTAACCCCCAGGTCCTGGACATTGGGGTGACGCCCCAAGACTGGCTCACTGAACCTGACTGGGACAGCGCCAATGGAAACACTCCTAACGGTTTGAGTCCATTTGGGGACGATATCTTTGGCTTCTGACCACCACTGCACAGCGGGGAGAGGGACGACAACTGAGAGGAGGGGCTGTTTTCCTACGAATTAACATGACATCCATGTATATTTAAAAAATAAGGCTACAGTAAGTCCACAAGGGAATAAGTGTAGAACCGTGAGATGAAGTTTGGCCTCTTCACTTTGTCGTTGCACTCTTCACATGTCCGTTTCTTCCCTTCTCTGTGGAAACAGCACGGGCTGCTGCCCCTGCGCACCAAAGCAATAATAACATCCTGTAATGTTACTACATCTCTTCTGTTATTACGCTGCAAACATTAGCGCTAACTTATCTTCACCAAGCCATCTTCTGCCAGCTTGTGTTTTTTCCTTGGTTTACTTAAATTCTTTTTCTGTAGTTTTGGCATCATAATCAGTGTTTTGTACGTGTTTAGTTATAATTTATAGTTTTATAATTATTTTTTTATGGATGAGGTAGGACTTAATTGTACAGACTGTATCAGCAGGCCTTAATAATAACAGCAGGACAATCAGCTATGCTATATCTTTAAATTACAAAAAAAAAAAAAAGCTTAAGTCCAACATGAGTGGGTTTAGTTTGTGTGAGGATTTGGCCCTCTTATGTTTTGGATGCAACCAGCAGATTGTTTTGTTTATAATCTGAAAATCAGCGTACTCATTCTATTTAAATGAAATTTTTCCAGTGGCTCATGCAAGACTTAATGTTCCAGGCATTACTTTTTCACTGCAGCAGTGTAACAATGTTCTCTTCAAATGAAGCCCAGATGTGTTCACAACCCACCGTGGCCCTTTCATTGTACACTGTAATCTACCAGCATTGTATAGAATTAAAATATATTCATGAATATAAAATAGTCCTGGTATATGTATGTACTTTACTGAGATTGCTGTGGATGGATGCACATAATGACTGTGTAAAAATAGGAATAGCAAACATTTTGTTGGAGTTCAGTCTTGGCAGCTCATAGCTCATTTTTAGTTTGTCTTGATTCTTTAATCATTTCCAAGGTCCAGAATGAAGCTAACTTCGGGGCAACAGGTTGACAGTTTGGAAAATATACAAAATATACATATTAATGTAAAACACAAGTTTTTAAGGCTATACTTATAGTTAAAAATGTTTTCCATCTTAAAAACTGCAGTGTACCAAAGACAAAATCAAAAACACAGATTCAGAAAGCCTCGGTTTCATACATAACAGACCTAAAGCACCTTGGAACTTCCTGTTTAACGGCTGGGACTCTGTACAGTTTTACAGAACCAACAGTGTCGAGTTACAACTAAGCCACTCTAAGGAAGGAGGGGATTATTTTAGTCGAAGAAGAACTTTTTTCTGGGTTTTATCGATGACCAGAGAGGGGCTTTGATATTTGCATTTTGGGATGTCTGACCGAGTGTTTTACTCCTGCTGTAATCTGAGTTATTTTAATATTAAGTATGTGCTGATACCCAGAACCATCTTCCTACATAATACACACCTGAAGTGTTTGGGTTTAGGTTTGGACACATACAGATCACTAAGAAATTTTCTTGATTGGCTTTGATCCTGATCATAGGATTGCAACAACCCTATTTGTAATACTTATTATAATGTTCTTCAAACCAGTCGATGAAGCGATCTGAGGAGAGAAGCCAGGTTAGGGAGGTCTGAGGCGCTACAGTTAAACAATCTCCATCCTTTTCCTCCATCCAGTGCATAAGCAAGAATGTGCACAGAACACACTGGAGGAGTGTTGTGTGTGAATCAGCCACTTTGTTTCCCATCTACAGAGCCAGGCTTGTGTTTGAACAGCAAACAATGGATAGCTAGCGGACTGTGAGGAGATATTCCCTGAAGTTGACGTGTTGGACTGTAATCGCAGACTTTTATCTTTAAGATTACTTGTGCTGCTTTCAGTTTGTTCTTAAAGTTACTATGAATTCCTGGTGTCTGAAAGGGTTTAGATCAACTTCATACTGTTTATTTGCTCCTTTCTGTATGAGTCTTGACTTTTGCTTGTCCCTGGGTATGAGCTGACACACTGTATTCATACAATGTGCTGTAGTCTCTAGGAAACGAGGGTGCGGCTTGTTTGTGCCAGCAGCAGGGGGCAGCCCTGTACTATCCAGAGTGAAGTGAAGCCCACACAGATGACTTAAGTGGTATCAATGCTGGTCACATCTTCAGCTCTGGACCAACACAGTCATTTTGTACTCTCCACTGCCGCACAATGATGTTATAACTTGTCTAATTCTTTCTAATAAGTGTCCTCTGTTGTCCCAAATTCAAAGTGACAGTGTAGGTCAATAAATGCAACTTTATTAGCTCTGAGAGAGGTCGTCATAAGGAGGAGAGGATGCTTTGTGTCAGACTGATCTATAAACGCACCAGCGAGAGGACATGACGGCAGGCGAGGAGGAGGACGGCCGGCCGGCGCTGTCTTTGGCTTATTCACCACACATGTACACACACACACACGTTCCCTGCCACGTTCTGTATTCGACCCGTGTGTGTGTGAACAGGACTCTGGAGGGCTGAAAGTCACGCGGTCTCGCCTCTTTCTCTAACAGGCTGTGGCTCAGTGAAGCAGGGGCTTTTTTACAATTCGTCCCGACAAGCTTACTTAACCACCTGCATTATTTAACAGTCTTTCCTCAAAGGGAGCTCCAAGTCTCTGTCTCCACTCTCTGTAAGTTTGATGAAAGCGTGCACAGTGAGAAAGAGCCAGCAAAAGTGTCTTCTCTGTCAGGGAAAAAAAAAAGGGGGGGGGACAGATACTGTAGACACACTTTAAAGGCAATAAGGGCTAAAGACTCGGTGAGTGTTTGGGCATCAAGGTCAAGTGACGGCAGATGGATAAAAGCGGCCCAATGTGAAATATATTTACAGAAGACTATGCAGACTGATTTTAAATTAGCTGGTTTGCCTCTTTGTGTTGGTATATTTTTATTGACACATTAAAGTGAATATTAAATTTCTGGCCAACACCACACCTGTCAAGTACTTATCTAAAATCCAGACAGCCTCTGTATATATTCATTTCCTTTGGCCTCTTTTTAAGGTCTTTGCTATAAACCTCAGTGCATTTCCTATTCAATATACAGAGAACAAGTAATCTCCAAAAGGATATTTCTTCTCATGTAAGGCAAAGAGGAAGCAAAACTAAGGGAAATCTGTATAGGCTGAGCTTAAAGGAATGGGTGGACATTTTGGGACTTTTTAAAAAAAAAAATTTGGCCAAGTATCAGAAGCTGGATATCACTTTCATGTCTGTCTGTTAAATATGAAGTCAGTTAGCCAGTTTGGCACACTTGAAAGTGGAAAATAGCTACCCTGGCTCTGCAAAAGAATAGAAATCTGGCCACCATTAACTCTGACGGAGTGTTTAGATTGAAACAAAAGCCTTACGAAGCTTGTGTTTCGAGCAAAAAGTTGAAGTTAGTTTGCTGAAATTGTGGCGACAAGTTTGCGCCGAGGTCATGTTTTCCTGTGAACGTTAGATTTGTGGCAAACTTGTGTTGGATTTTTGTGGGAAACGTCAGCTATGCCAACTTTTATCTTCCAAAGAGCCTTTGATGGGCTGGAATCTTGGCAGCCTCGAATTCTATTCCAGCTGACGGTGGGCAAGAAGCAGGTTACTTCCTGGATAGGTCGGCCAATACAAGGCCTGGTTCATGTTCTCATTCACACCTGTGGCTATTTTAGAATCACCGGTTAACCTACTAGGCAGGCACAGGGAGAACAGAAACACACAACTTTCCATTTTGCCACGACTCATGAAAATATGACCTTGCTGCAGTTTTCAGTGGCATTGCCAAAGATTAACTATAAATGAAGTCATTAGAACCAGAAATGCTGTCAATGACAAACACATCTCTGCTACTAGTGACAAACTTTTCACCAGAAGGGTCTTCGGTGTGTGACTCTGCTGGCAAACAAACCAGTGAACATGCAAATTTCTCATTATTGCCAGAGTATTGCTTGGTATTTGCCACTACTGAGCAACACAAAAGTTCTGACATTTCTTTGGCAAGCCGGTGTCTTTACTGCAACTAGACATTTGACACAAACCTGCTGCAGACACTTGACTTTTGTAAGAGAGGTTTCCCTAACTTTGGAACAGCTGAGGAGAAAGAGCTTTCCTGGCTAAATAAAAGCATTAAAGTTCCTGGTTATGTAAAATCCTCCCCAAAAAGTTATTATGAGGTACAACCACAGACATTATAAGGTAGAAGTTGAATTAAAATCTGTGGGAGAATGTAATATTGCCAACGATGGTGGTTGTATAACACATGTTCTGCCATCCAATGAAAAGAAAATAGCCAATGAACTGGGAACTGCTGAAGTGGGAAAATTCAAACCAATGTTGTTGTTGCACTGATGCAAGCGTGTTGTCAGCAGTACTCAAGCCAAGAGGAAGTATATGAGGGGAAGAACGCTTTATTTTGAGGGCAAAGTCCCCCAACTTTTTAAGCATTTTTGTAAAACTCAGATTTTATTCTATACTTGCAGCTTTTATGCCATGGTGATCATGGAAATTACATTATTTATATAAGACTTTGGTCTTATTAACCCAAAACATCCATCTGGGGATGTTGTCAAGATGGCTGCTAAGTAATGAGACTTGCTTATTAAAACTTTCCGCATAGTAACGCATATCTTTTTGTTTAATATGTACAAAAGCGGGCTGTAGGATGGCCCAGTTGGTAGCACTGTTGCCTCGCAGCAAGAAGGTTGCCGGTTCGCGTCCCGGTGGGGGCACCGGAATCTTTCTGTGTGGAGTCTCCATGTTCTCCCCGTGCAGCGTGGGTTCTCTCCGGGTTCTCCAGCTTCCTCCCACACAGTCACAGTCCAAAAACATGTTGAGGTTAATTGGTGATTCTAAATTGTCCATAGGTGTGAATGTGAGTGTGCTTGGTTGTCTGTCTCTAAGTGTAGCCCTGTGATAGACTGGTTACCTGTCCAGGTGAACCTGCCTTCACCCTGAGTCAGCTGGGATAGACTCCAGCCCCCCATGACCCTAGTGAGGATTAAGCGGTGTATAGATAATGGATGGATGGATGTACAAAAGCTGAAGTATAAAAACAGCAAGTTGGGGGCAGCGTTATAGCTCACCTCGTTGAGCTGGCATCAGGATTATTTTGGCTGCCTGATCTTCACATGGCAGAAGGATTTTTTTGAAACAGGATAACTACAAATTGTTTGACTGTTTTTGTACAAGGCAAAACAAAGGTACAACATGTCGGTCTGCAGCTTTGGAGGTGGCAGTCGTGCTCTTTCCTTCTGCTTTCTGTCCTGATGTTGCTGTATGCTCTGTGCAAACCTCTCTATACTTTGGCCCCAGCTTCTTATTTAGCATACAGACATGAAAGTGGTATTGATTTTCTTAAGTATCTCTCAAGAAGAAAGCAATTAAGTGCATACCTAAATGACAGTTATTAGTTCAACTGTCAAACCTTTTTTTTATTATTAGATAACATACATTAGGGAAAACAGGCAGTACAAAAGCTGAACACAGTGCAAGCGGCACCAAAATAGACACTGTACATAGAAAAACCTTGTTGACCACAAGCATTAAGCATTCGTTTCTGGCTTTCACTCAACAGCAAAATCTCATGGGTAAACTGACTTTGCAGCGGTCAAAGAGGGTATACAGTGGTTATGTCATACACACAAACAACGTACACACTGGTGTGTGCTCGGCGTCGTTGTATAGCTGAGTCAAACACTGCAGTGGAAGTGGCTCGGCATCGAATAAACATTTAAGCAAACTAATCCATAGCTTCAGCTTTAAAGAAAATTAATCTACAGTGGCTGCGATCGATGCCATTATTAATTCACATATCAAATGAATGTGGTGCATAGAGTGACC